GAAAGAAGAAAGAGAAAATGCGACCTTTTGAATCTGTTCGGTGGTGATATTGGTGGGGGGGAATGAAGGCATCATGGGCATCATTTGCGGCGGTTGCTGCATCTTTGGCTTTCCTAAGTATAAACCTTAGCCCTACCTCTTAGAAAAGAGAATTCCCAAGTCAGAAGAGATTCAAAAGCAAGAAGAAAAAGAACCTATTACGTTAATATAGGCTTCTGAATAAATCGAAACATGTTTCTAATTCTGCCCCTATGTTAGTTCATAAGCATGGATAATTCAATCAAACTCAAACTCAAAACTCATCAGTTTTCTATTTTGTGACAAGAATGATATGTTTTGTTCCTTTTTTATTTATTGATTCAATATTGTTTTTCCTCTTAGTTATATGTTTTCATTTAGACTAGTTGAACACTGGTCGAAGAAGAAATCAACAAAAAAAAAAAAAAAAAGTTATTCATTTCCTCTTCCGTGAGTAAAGAGAACAGACTAACATAACCCAACAAAACAAAATAAAACCTTGAGGATCTGAATGAGCAGCGGCGGCGCGATCTCACCAACGGCGCGGGTTAGAGGCTGAACCACTGTTTCCGACGAAAAAAAAAAACGAAGTAAGACAACTCTGATCGTTCCTAGTTGAGAGAGTATGAAAGGGATGGGCGGCTTCGATTTCGTGGGAAGGCTGAGACTGCGGGAGCTGAGGGCGGCAGCTGCAGAGATGGTGTTGGGGGCGGGGTACGGGGCTGATAATGGGAGGAAGGGGGTGGCTGAACGTGAAATAGGGTTTAGAAAGAAAGGAAGTGGTGATGGTTAAAAACCATTTTAAAATGCGTATAAAAAAATATAATGCATTTTAATATATAAACAATTATATGGAAAAACTATATAAAAGAACCAATATCATATCGTAATTAAGTGATTTAAATCTAATTGTTTCATCCAAAAATATTTTTACAATATAATATCCTTGAAATGGGAGAAAAAGTCAGGACAGACAAGACAAGAACGTTAAATTATAAATTTAATAAATAAAAAATTAAAAAAAAACGTGTTCTGCCTTTCCCTTTTGTCGTTTCTTGTTTCACCAAACTCGACCGACGACTAGATTTGATTTCCTCGCACTGTTTTGGTTAGGCCGGGCCCAATTAATTCCCTTTTTATAAAAAAAATAAAACCTGTGTATTTTTATTATAATTGTATAGGAATAAAATCTCAGGCGTATTTATTCTGAGGTAGAACTAGCCATTCTTTATCAAATAGCTCGAACTTTCAACTAAAGCCATAACTTTTTGATATATGTTCTTAGTATCGATCAATGATCAAAAGTATAGTGATCCACGTTTCATCTTCTTCATCAATCTCAGCATACTGAGTGGATCATCAAAAGCCAAGCAGACAGCAGAAAGAGAGGCCAATAATTGAATTTGGCAGCAGCATCACCTATAACCATGACAGACAAACCACATCCCTTTCTGCATAGAAAATCAAGTTGGGTGTTACCAGAAAACCCAAAAAGACAGTCCCATATATCAATATCATAGATTTGGGACCATATAATTCCAGAAAAAAGGGAAGAGACATGAAGAAAATTCATGAACAACGCTGATTCCAGTAGGAAACTGGGCGAAGTTGGAATCTTGAGGAGATGATTGAACCAATCTGTTGCCCAAAGTGGGAAGAAGTCGATGTATGTGTTGTCAAACCGATTATACACTACAAACGTGCTGCAAATTAAGTACAACAGTGAAAATATAGAAGTTTCTGCCTGTTTTTTTGGGCCAATCGACTCATTTTTGTGCAGTATTCTTCCTCATTTTCCATTTTGAGTACCTCCCCCCGCACTCCCCTTCACCATCAAAATAAAAAAAGAAAAAAGAGAGAGAAGAAAACGCAGCACCATTCTTCTTCACTTCACTGATACAATAGTGTGTTGAGGCTTTCCAATCTTCTACAATTACTTTATCCAGAGAAAATGAGTCAAATGCCTGCATCAATTAATCTTTAAATCAAATTCAGATTGCAGAGGAACAGCTAACACATCATGAGCAATTCATGTTTCCATTTACCAAATCCAAAAAACGCGGACGAATACATAATCAGCAAGGCCAAACTCACTCGTCTTCAAGGCACAAACAAGTTTCATCAACCTCTTAAACTTGTAATCCGTCATAGAAATACTGAAGGGAAGTAGCATGACAGAAATTCTCACTTCCCGTGACCGATAAAGAAAGTTCAAAATTCTCCCTCTCTCTCTCACCCACACTATGTAAAACAGACACTCCTCTATTCAGAGCAAAAAAATGGTGGGCAGAAAATGGAGGACAGTGCTCAAGGGAATTGCTAGTTGCAGGTGAAGCAACAGGAGGCTAGAATTTAACAGGCTTTCCCACATTTCTGTATTAAACATTACTGGAAAAAAATCATTTCTACTTGCAACATACCAGTTTAATCCAAAATTCACTTTGCTTACCAGACAAAAGCGGTGTACATTATAATATGTTGTTGGAATTCATGAGATCATTAAACAGAAATTAGAAAAGTTATTTTAATAGAAGTGAGAAATCGCTGAGATAGAACGTTATAAACCAATTTGGAAAAAGCACACAACAATGCATTTATGAGGAGAAAAGTGAAATATATCAGCTGACCTTGGTTGACGACTAATAATAATTAACCTACAACCATCACATTTTTGTAGTCATCATGAACTTATTAGCTTTTTTCTCTGCAGGCTTTAGAATCTGGAAAGAGCACATCAAGTTTTCATCAACACTCATCATTGCACCAGCATTATCAAATTCACCGCAATAGTTGGGGGCTGAGAATATTGTGACAAGTTGCCTGTCGGCAAAAAATTCATAACCATCCTCCACAACCTAAATAAAAAAATTGCACCAGAATGAGAACCAATTAGCAATGAGTCACAAGAATAAACTATGACAAGAAAAAGGGGAGGGGAAGAAGAAGCAGCAACCACCTGATGAGCACGACATACGAGATCCAGATCGTGCTTGGATAAAAATTCTTCCACCTTATCAGGACCAAAGGTGTAAGAGACTCCTCTATCATTCATCCCCCATCCTTTGACATCTCTACAAGGATCTGACCAAAGCAAATCACATAACAAACCAGTGTCTGGGATAGGTGTTGGCCTGCCTAAGCTTCTTATTTGATCCAAATTTGTAAGATCGGGGGAGAGACCACCATGCATGCACAAAATTTTGTCATCAATAAGAGCAGCCACGGGAAGACAGTTAAAACAATCAGTAAACGCCTTCCAGAGTCTCACATTAAACCGTCGCTTACATTCATCATAAAACCCATATATCCTATTAATTGAAGCACATTCATGATTTCCTCTTAAAAGGAAAAAGTTCTCAGGGAATTTGATCTTATAGGCAAGCAAGAGACATATTGTTTCTAAGCTTTGCTTGCCTCGGTCCACATAGTCTCCTAAAAACAGATAATTGGCACTAGGAGGAAAACCTCCATACTCAAAAAGCCTTAGTAAATCACTGTACTGCCCATGAATGTCACCTGAAAATTGGAACAGTACACAAGATTAGAAGACCTAACACCATAACAATCAAGAAAGACGAAGCTAATATATATACTCATATCTCAAGGAGCTCTATAGTCGAGTGCCGAACTTGTATTGAAATCATATCAAACACCATCTTCTGTTAAATACTTCGAATACTCTCTTATAGAGACAAAAAGGGAGGTGGAAAATACCATTTTCAAATTAGACGGTACAGGAATTACAAGCAAGTAAACACTGTAACTGCAATTGAATTTAGGTTTTAAAGGGACTGGTAGTTTGCCATTTCAAAACACCAGTTCTAGTATATTTTTCAGCAGTTAAAAACATCAAGGAGTAGATTGTTACATAGAAGACACAAGGTCTGACTGCAGCCCCAATAGTGGAAGTGGCAAGAATTCTTCAGGCTAATTGAGAGAACATTACAACAAGAACAAATAAAATCAAAGAAGATTTGATAAGGAGAACGCGAAGACTAAGAAAGAAAGCATAATATATATATTTTCCAACGGACTGTCCTAAATTTGGTAAGTTAAGCCATTCCACAAAATTCCATCAGAACATAATTAACAAAAATTTCATGTTCTCCTTCTAAAACTGGGATTGAGAGAGAAGTTTTCATTTCACATATATCTAAAAACTAAAACCGGCACAAGCTTCGAAACAGAGTTAACAAACAAATAGCAAGCTCCCCAGCTCTAAAAACAATAATAACAAAACTGAACCAAGACAACGAAGAACAGAAATTTTACCTAAGGAAATAAAGAACAGCTAAAACATCTCAAAGATACAATTTTTCTACCTATTACGATTGTCAATTAAACGAAGGAAGAAGAAGAGAGGAATTTTTTGTAGCTAAGCAACAAAAAAGCTCACCGCAAATTTTGATAGGGGCTTCAAGCTCGAGCAAATTGGGCTGCTGGATAAAAATCTCTCTGGAAGCAACACAAAGTTGTTTGATCTCATTCTCAGACAGCTGAACTTGCTTGCCCGGACGAGACGATCGGACTTCGGTGAGCCGTCTAATTATGTCGTCCAGTACAGCGGGGTCAATACTTCCCTGTCCTTGCGAGGCCATTAGGGTTTAAGATTCTCGGATCCTCTTCCTTGAATAAAAGAAAAAAAAAAAAAAAAATAGAAGGTGCAGAAAAACCCTAGCAATCGAAGAACCCCAAAACCAGCAAGAACTTGAAACGCCTTTCTAATTTTTCCTTCTTTTTATTTTCTTTCTTGGTCGCCTCTTTGCGATTTCTATCTTTCTATAATTTCCTCAAACAAATAAATAAATAAATAAATAAAAGTATTTTCTCGGAAAGCGAGAGATTAAAATAATATATTTTATTTTTGTCCAATGTTATTATTATTAAAATAATATCTACCTCCGATGTGGTGGTGGAGCGGCACAGGACACAGCTGCCGTCTAAATAATAATAATAATAATAATAATAATAATAATAGAAGCTACAACCTGGATCAAAAATCTCTCATTTTCCACAGAAACAAACGGAAGTAGTTCAGATAGAAACTGAAGAGAAGCAGTCTGAGTTACTTTTCCATCTATAAAAGAAAAGGGTACCTCTCTATTCATCTTGCCTTATACAACAAAAACTCTTACTGATTTTTTTTTTTTTTTTTTTTTACCCCCAAAATGGTCGTCACAAGATCAATTAGAGCAACAACTTCTCTTGTTGTAGTTGCCTGAGATATTAGCGACGTTGATGGTGGTGCCGTGAGGTATGCCGGGGGTGGAAGCGGCCTCCTGAGCGGCCAAAGCTTTTTTGCTAATGATGTGGTAAATATCGAGCAAAATGGTCTGGAAAGCCTTCTCGACGTTCAAGGCCTCCAAGGCTGAGGTCTCGAGAAATGACAGCCCTTCTTTCTCTGCCAAAACCTGAGCATCTTCGGCCGAAACTGCCCGGAGATGGTTCAGATCGGCCTTGTTTCCGGCCATCATGATCACGATGTTGGAATCAGCATGGTCTCTCAGTTCGCGTAGCCATCTTTGGACATTGTCAAAGGTTTGTCTCTTGGTAATGTCATATACCAAAAGTGCACCCACTGCTCCTCTGTAATAAGCACTCGTAATGGCTCGGTATCTCTCTTGCCCTGCTGTGTCCCATATTTGGGCCTTCACTGTCTTCCCCTCTACCTGTTTCAAACCAACTCTAAACAATCATCTAATGTGAATACATACTCCATTTCTTTTCAATTTCAAAAAATATGAAAACAAATCATTTGACTTCCTCCATTGTTCAGGTCCACCCTACACCTGATTTCTGTATTCAAATGTAAACGCTCTAGGTTTAAATCCAGGCAACAAAAATGTGCGTCAACATCCATCATTCAGATTCGAACTTGTTAATACAATTATGACAGCGTTCTTTGATTTATTCGAGTTCGTCGGGATGGAACCGGAATTTCGTGATTTAAGATTCTAATCCGTCGGAATCAAACTTCTCGAGTTGTTAGTTAAGTAAGGATCAAGGATAGGAAGTAATTGATTGATCTATGAGGAGGGCAATACAGTCAATATACTAACATGGATATGACTTTGATTTGAGTGGGAAAAAAGGAATAGAAAATGGCGGAAGCGTGGCCAACCTGCAAAGTCCGCGTAGCGAATTCAACTCCGATTGTTGACTTGGATTCCAAACAGAACTCGTTCCGCGTAAACCTGGAGAGGATATTGGACTTTCCAACGCCAGAATCACCGATCAACACAATCTTGAAGAGATAATCGTATTCGTGATCCACCTTGTAAGCCATTTGATGAAACTCCTAATCAAACTCCGAGGCTAACACCTGCCAGATCCAACAACAAACGATTCAGAAGAAATAAACGCATTAGCAATCGCATTTTCTGAGCATAACGCCTTGGAGAATTGGTTTGATTGTGGAGAAAAGAAACGGGATGGAGAAATGGTTAGGGTTGAAGACGATAGAAGAGAAGAAAAACAAAAAATAAAAATGGAATGAAGAACTAACCATAAAGAAAAAATGGTGAATAGATAGATAGGGAAGGGAGAGTGGTAATTGGATTAGGAATTTTTTGAAATTTCTTGCAAATTTTATTAGCGAGTTTTAAGGAAAATGGCCAAAAAGAAAGCCAGGGATTTTACTGAATCAATGAAAACAAAACCGTCTTAACGGAGGGAAAGGCACTGAACCCGGCCCTTCCTGTGGCTAACACTTTAAAATCACTATTTAAAATGATCGGTCTTCATACCAACGACATGACGTTCTTCAAAATGGACAAAATACTAACCTCACCCTTCAACGACAAGTCGGATTGAAACCTTGAAAGAGATAATAATAAAAAACACTTCTCGCCGTTGCCGGGGATCGAACCCGGGTCACCCGCGTGACAGGCGGGAATACTTACCACTATACTACAACGACTTGTTGATCTTCGTCACTACTAAAATTATTAAATTTAATTTTATCCAAATCGAGAGAATACTATTAAATAATAAAAATATAATATAAAATAAATGTTATATTATATTTTTTGTGAGCTGAAGAAAAGAGCTCTATATTGGTGAAGAACAAATGATAGCAATTCTAGAAAATCACGTTTTATCTGTTGGTTGGCTATTTGGTCGTGTCAGCGAGTAATTTGCTGCAGTTTATAACATTTTGATCTGCAGAAGAGCTCTTTCTCTGTTCTGAACTTTCATTAACAACAATATTCTGAATTGAAGCAGGCCCTTCAATTGAATTTGTGCAAGTTTTCGCTTTCGTCTCGACACTGAGATAGTTCGTCAAGGCTCTTTTTACTCCGAACCCGCGCCGAGGAGGCTTGCTGTTATTGTTGTTGTTGAGAAATGGCGGTCTCTCAGTCTTGGCAGGACTAACCTTTGGAGCTGGCGAAAAGCTTGGAGTAGTGGATGTGAGTTTGTATGGAGTGCTTGAGAAATGCACCGAGTAAGCAGCCTTCTTGTGACCGACTACGTTAACCGTGGCGACTGATGTCAGCCTACCCGAATGCTTAGTTAAGTCGTCGACATAAAGCAAATCGTCGATTCGAGCAATGATGTTGTATGCTATACTCTCTAGAACCCTTGAGTAGCTTTCAAGAATGGACTTTCCAACATCCTGAAAACTTGGAAATTAGAAATGGATCATAATTGAGAAAGTGGAAGAATGAATGTTGTTACCTTGTTGAATTGGATCTTGCTAGTGTCTAAAGTAGTTTGTGTTAGAGTAGGAAACCGCTGCTTCAAAGAATGCAAGAAGCCCTCAGCTCTTTCTGCTAAAAACTCTCTTTTGTCACCATCAATCATTAGGTCCTTCACCATCTCCCAAGATGATCTTGTCGAAGAACGAGTTGGATTGAGTTGGGGTTTCGAATGAGCTCGACGTCGCCAAACGTAGATAGCAGCCTCGACACGGTTGGCAACGTCAAGAGCGACATGATCCGAGGATAAGTCGAGGCAGTCGAGCAAGTACTCGGACGAAAAATGCTCCGACGTAATATAACGATATATAACATCTCCTAGACAGGCTCTCCCATTCTGAAAACAAAAGCTTTAGGATTATGCAATTCTTGAAAGTAAGCTGTTTTACACAATGGCATCCAAACCTTAGGAAGAGTCTCCAAGTAAGATTCAGGAACCTCCATGTCATTCAAAGCAATGTTGTTAATGGCCTTTACAGCTTTCAATATCTGGCTAGTACAATCTCTAATATGATGCAATTGCTTCCTTGAATCTTCACCGAGACCGCCCACCGGGACTCGGGGCACTGGAAGCCACCACTTCTCCTGCTGCCTCTGAACTATCTTCCGAAATGAAGACGATCCATCGCCATCGGCTGATACGATGCCTTGATCGACATACCAAAACTCGGTGTCCGTAAAACTCTCTAGAATTTCCTATAAACAGTGCCAAGTTTATCATAAATGGGAATTGAATAGCATAATGTGCAGCAAAAACAAGGCCAATCTTACAAGCAGCATATTGTCCAATTTTCTGAGAGCTGGAAGGTTGATGAAGATATCAGATCTTGGCCTGGAAGTCATAACCTACAGAAGAAACCGTGAATATCATTCGCACCAACCCAACAGAAACTCATGATACCAATGAACTAATGTGAGATCCTATGTCGGTTGGTGAGAGGAACGAAATATTCATTATCAGGGTGTAAACCTCTCCCTATTAGGACGAGTTTTAAAACCTTGAGAGAAAACCTAGAAGGGAAAGTTCAAAGAAGACAACATCTACAAGCGGTGAATTTGAGCTGTTACAAATGATATTAGAGTCAGACACGGCGTGCTAACAAGGACGCTAGGCCCTAAAGGGTGGTGGATTGTGAAATCCTATATTGGTTAGAGAGGATAACAAAACTTTACTCATAAGGGGTGGAAATCCCTCACGAATAAACACATTTTAAAATCTTTAGGAAAACCTAAAAGTACGGGCGGTAGGCTTGGACCGTTTCAACCAAACCAAACAAGTAGAAAAATTACCTCCAGTTTGCTTCCATCAGGGAATGTTTGGAAAGAGGGGATTAATTCAACTATGTGGCCACTGACACAGAGAAGCCACTCCATTTCTCTTCTCCACATTGATTTCTTCTCAGTTGGCAAGGGTTCAAGTCTCCAAAGTTGCCCAAAAATGGTGGCTTCAAGTTGCACAAAGAACATAATAAATACCCATGTAAACAGGAAGAACACAAAATTTCATAAATGAAAGCAAGAGAAAGCTTACCACAGAGATTGGTAATGGAATTTGAGATGGCCAAAGCAGTGGAAACCCCTTTTCCAGAACCTGACATGTCTTCTCCAAGCAACAGTTTTGCAAACCTCTCCTTCATCATCTCCAACTCTGCTCAAAAGTTCAAACAAAAACCCCATCAAAGCATACCAAGGAATGATTTCGCTGAGTGCACGAGAAAGATGATAAATCAAACTAACCCGAAACTTTGGGGACCGTTTTGTTTATCTTTGAACCATTGGAATTGGAGTTTTGTTCTCTGGAGTTGGAAGTTTTGGAAGGCTGAGCCTTGCGAATCGGCCAGCCGAGTTGGGGCGGTGAAGAACACTCCACAGCCTTCAAGTCGTCGGCGGAACTGTCGGAGCTGGACCTGCTTGAGCTGCTCTCCCCAGATACAGCACTGAACTCGGTGAACGACTCTGTTCCAGCTCCATTAGAGCCAAATTTTCGAGCTTTTTCGCTTCTCTTGACCGAATCTTCCATTTTTAAGCTCAATAGCAAAGAAAATAGAGATGGAAGAAGATGATCAAGAGAATTGGTGAAGTGGGTCTGAGAAAGACTTCATTTTTTCACTGTTTCTTGCTTCACTTGTATCAGAAAGATGAGGAGAGAAGATTTTGATTTCAAATTTGTAGCTCTCTCACTTTCCCCAAATTTGATTTTAAAGCTAAGTGCCAGAGTGGCACGAACAGGCCAAGGTTTAAAAGAAATAGCGTTAAAAAATTTGTCAACTCCCCTTCGAATTTTGAATCCGGTTTCACCTGTCCCCTCTGATCCAAACTTCAAATTTGAAGAACTTCTGATGCTGTTTGTACTTTAAAATAATTTAAATTAAATTTACAATGAAGAAATTTTAAAGATGTTCAAGATATTACTTTCATCAAAAAGTAAAAAAGAACTAAAGTTAGCTTTATTTTGAAATGTAACTAACGGTACCCTGACTTTATGTTACGCTGATGTCTTGATTGTTTTAGATTTGTAGGGTTCCAAAAATTATGACTTTCATTTGATTGTTCTAAAGTCTCTTCTTAGCATATACTTCTTAATTTGAAAAGAGAGCATGTTATGAATTAGTGACCTCTACAATAATACGATGTTATCCATTTTGAGCATAACATCTAGTAGTTTTAATGGAAATAGTGTTATTTGTTTATAAATTAATTATACGAGCAAGAACTCAAACTCCCTTATTTCCAACTCACTGCTGCTCAATATTTTTCTTTTTGGGTTTTCTCTCAAGATTTTAAAACGTGTCTAGTAGAAATATTTTGTTTTTATGCTCTAACTGATATAGGATCTCACGTTATTCAACTCGTGAAAAGTTTAATCTCGAGTTTGATGCTTTTTGGACTTAAAAAAATAAACTCCATGCCTGAGTTTACGTTGATTTCTCAAACTCGAGATCATAAAAAGGAGGTGTAGATCCACACTAACGCTTGGTTTGGATGTTCGATACACTCATATAAATTTGTAGCCGTTTGAGATGGGAAATCCTTGACTTTTGTGGTTACTTTTCCCTACGTTCATCATCAAATCCACTTCCTTTCCCTCCATTTGCATTTCAATCTTGCTTTACCTATACCTTGAGCTTCGAGCTTAGAATGTTGTTTCTAAAATATCAAAAACTCGTCCCAAAAATTCTCTTTTTTTAACTCAAAATTTCGATAAACTCAATGCTATAGTATCTATATAACTAAAGTTATGTTTTATACTATGATGTAGGCCATAGTTTGAGAAAACTTGGTAAAAAATTAGTAATTATTTGCACACGAGACAACTTCAAATAAAGTGCCAATAATTTGGAGTTTTACATATTCTCTGATACGTGTGATGATAAAAACGGTGTCGGATATGAAATGAGTTCAAGTTGAGCCTCAAGTCTATAGGCTTAGACGGTGGATGAGGGTTGAGTTGGGTTGGGTCTCTGAGTCGACTTATTATAAATGCATAGGAATTGAGTTGACTTGTAGATCGATATTAAAATTTTAAGTTGGTTGAGTAGGTGATAAAAATAACCCTCACATCCCAATCCAACCCACCACTTTGATTATGGGTTAGGCTAAATTGGTCTGTGAATCTATTTTTTTTATTATTTTAAAAATTATACTTATTTACTGTACAAATTTTCAATTTAAAAAAAAATTCAACCCAACCTGATGTGATATAAATTTTAGGTGGATTAGTGTTTAAAAAGGAGGAGAGATAAATAGGAAATTTTTAATTCCGTTATAATATTTTAAAATTATGATTAATATTATAATTATAACAAAAATGTTTGGATGAGATTAGCAAATTCTAAAATTTTAGATTACAAATTTCATGTTTCCAATCTCCATCGCGTCGCAGCTCGCAGCCACAGCCAAAGCGCTATATGCTTCTCTGCTCTCCGATCTTCCTACAGGTATACACATACCAACTCATTTCATTCTCTTCTCTGATCCTCATCTCTACACCGGAAATAATTTCAAATC